TCACCTTTATTTTTAAACATTTTTAGAAATTTGCAACTCTCTTACATTTTTAAGGTATGTGAAACAACTAAAATTGTCTAGTATCTGCCTTGGGGTGTGTGTGTGTGTGTGTGTGTTTGGCATCAAAAGAAAACGTTTTTATTTTGACTGCATATATTTAGAAATGCTAAATGACAAACACTATCTTAGACAAAACAAGAAGGTGAAGCAGAAATTACAAAACAGGAAATAGTGGTTGCAAAATCTCAAATTTTCTCACCTATGAATTTAGTACTGAATTAATTACTCATGTATTTAGGAAAAACTATAAATTAAGACTAAGCTAATACAGATAATATGTAGTTTGAATGGCATTGTCTTGCTTAAGTTTTTTTGTTCAGTTTCTTTTTTCCTTCCTTCGTTCCTTCCTTTCTTCCTTCCTTCTTTCCTTGCTTGCTTTTTTGCTTAGGTTTTCAAACTAACCAAAATTCATTCAGGCCAATATCCAGCAGTTACTTCCACATTGTAAATAGTAGCCTAATGCAGAGAATTCTCATTGTCTCAAACATCTCTACCAGGACAAACTTAGAGGATGCTTTAGATCAGAGTTGGCATTTAATTTCAACCAAAATACAACACTATAGACTATATTCCTAACGATTTCAATGGGGAAATTAGGTAATTACGAGAGTACATTAACGAGTTCACGTTTAAATACTGCTGCCACCGAGTTACGATGCTCTACTACCAGGAGTCACTGTGGCAGCAATGTGGAACCAGGACAAACTAGGGAGAGCTGGAAGGACGTGTCCTCCCCACACACACGTGTGGACGTGGTGTGGTGGCTCTAGGGGTCAAAACTGGGTGCTGGGAGATGAGTCTCCCCTGCAGGTGAGCCTAGAGCCCTGAACCCTCATGGGGAGACTCTCCTCCTTGCTGGGGGCCTGATGCCCGGGGAGCCCCACTTCCAGGTCCCTGGGGACAGCTGCCAGGTTAGCAGAGCACTAGGGCCCCGTCGGAAGGGCTGGGGGTCACCCTGGACCTGTAGCACCTGCCTGTGGCACTGGTTGTCTTCCCTGAGTTCCTGGGGCTTTCTCTCCATCCCTGCGGCCCCCATCCAGCTCTCCTGGGCTCTCTTCTCCACAAAGAGGACTTCCGTCTGCTGGTGGGCACAGTTTTCCTCCAGTGCTGGCCCTGGGCCTCGGCCACCTCTTGGTAGATGCTGCGGATCTGCTGTGTGGAGGTCGTCTGTCCCCTCGCGGTGGCCAGCTTCCTCTCCAGCTCTGAGCAGGATGCTTCCTCCTTGCACCACTTCTCCTGAAGCTGCGTCAGGTGATCCACCTGGACTCCGGGCAGCATCTGGAGCCTCTGGCGCAGCTGCTGGGTCTCGCCGTGGAGCCGGGCCTTCTCTCGCCGCAGACCTGCCTCCTCCGCCTGCACGCTGGCTGTGTGTCCGGTCAGCTCTTGAGTCATCTGCTTTTCTTCCCCCACTGGTCTGGCTCTTCGTTGAGGTTCCAGCCCAGGACCTGGACGGGACACTGTGATGTCACCCGGGACCTGCTTCAGGTCCCCTTCTGGACGAGGGATGGAGGGGGGGCCCTGTGATGCCCCCCTGTGCCCCGCTGGCCTTTGGCACTGCCGTCCCCCCTGCCATCTCCCAGAGGCCTGGGCCTGGGCCCGGGCCCGGGCCACGGGGCGGCCCTCAGCGGGCGCTCAGCAAGGGACTCCAGCTGGCCGACCTTGTCCTGCAGGGCCCGCTCCCTTTGGGCGTCCACCTCCACCATCCTTTCTTTTTCCTCCTTCTCCTGGACTCGCTGCTTCCATCTCCCGATTTCCCAGGCCAGCAGCTCTGGACTTTCTGGAGAAAGAGGGTTTTCCTTCAGGTCCTCCTCTCCTCTCTGCTGAAGCTGCTCCCCAGTGCTCTCTGGTGCCTGGAGGCTGGGTGTCTCTCATCGGTCACTTTGGAGAGCTGAGAAGGCAGGCTCCTCTGAGCCTTTTCTAGGAAGTCCATGGTGCCCTGAAAGGCCGACCTGCTCAGGCTTGTGTTCAGAGCCGACGTGCATAAAGTTTGTAAGAGGGGAGGACTGGCCTCCCCGCCGGGCAGCCTGCCGGCTCCATCGGCCTGGGTCGTGGGTCCCCCGGTCTCAGTCTCTTGTCCACAGGCTTCATTGCGGGAAGAGCATCCTTTGCCTTCGGGAAGTGTGCCAAGAATGGGCATTTCTACCCAGTGCCCACGTGGTGCTGACGGGTTGGGGACCATCCTTTGAGAAGGCATTCCTCCCAGCCCTGGAAAGGTCCTTAGAGCCGCTCCCTGAAGGAAGGCAGCTGAGCCCCACCCACAGGGGGCGGATCGGAGAGGCCCCGCCTCCAAGAGTGAGCTCTCCGTCCTCATTGCCTGATAGTGAAGGGGCGTCCCCTACATCCCAGTGCAGGGCCCGCCTCCTCCCGAACGCCAGGGTCGGGGATACTGCGCCTGCGCAGTGGGGCTCGGTGCTGGCGTCCTGCGCTTCTGTGAGGTCCGGGTGGCGGGCGGTGACCCCATGGCTGACCCCCAGGAGGAATCGAAACCCCTTTTAAGCCGGGTTCGCGGCGGCAGCGGCCGCGACCGCCCAGAAGGCGTACCCGCTTGCCGCAGCGTCCAAGTCGGCCCTGGTGAGCGACGG